CGCGGCGGCCGGCGAGGGGCTGGCGTCGCGGCCGGGATCGACGTCCGGCCGTGCGGGGGCGTCGGCGGCGGCGCCGAGCGCCACTTCCAGGACGACCACGATGGAGTCGCCGCCGCCGCCGCCGCCGCCGCCGTCCTCGGGGGCCTCCCCGCGCCCGCCATCTTCCGGGCCCCTCAGCAGGCGGCCGCTGCCGCCATGTGGGCCGCTGCGGGCGGGCGAGGCGGCGAGCGGCGTCGGGAGGTCCATGTCGGGCCCGGCGACGGCGGCGGGGGCGGCGGGGGCGGCGGCGACTAGAACGAAGCGCGACCTGCCCCGCCCAGATGTGCGCGCGCGGCGCCCCCCGTGACGCGGATGGCGCCGTCGCCAGACGCAGCGCGCGGGGGCCCCCCCGAGCTGCGCATGCGCGGGAGCCTCCGAGGCGGCGGCTCCGGAGTGACGTCATCGGCGGGACGGCGCTGCGCGTGACGTCACGGGGAAGAGGAGGAGGGGCGGGCACATGGCCTGCTTCCCGCGCCGTGGAAGGATTCCGGGCGTGGAAAACGAGGCTTGTGTGTGACTTCGCTTCCTATTTCCGTCTCTGGGGAGTCCGAAGGGGGTGAATGCTAACGGGCGTTGTCTCGTGAGCAGTCGCGGAAGTGCTTTACGTGTATCAGCTGACTCAGCGTGCGCCGCTCAGCAGGCACAGAGAGGTCCGGCGGCTTGCCCGAGGGCACACAGCACCGACCTGGCGGATCAGGGCTGGACACAGCTTCCCCGGGAGCTCGCGGAGGTGACACCCGTCCCCGCTGCGGGTGCAGAGGCCTCGCTTTCATTACCCCCCAGGGTCCTTTCCTGACCCGCAGGGCCTCCCGGATAGGACCCCTGCCTGGAGTCTCGATTGTATTTCATACTAAAGTGTTCATGGCTCCCCGATCTGAGCCTTCCACCTCCAGGGTCAGTCCGGAGTCTCTGCACGCCTCTCCGTCCTCACCGGCACCCGGATGCAGACCTCTGTTTCACGCCTAGGATCTTGCAGAAATGAGGACTGGTTGTTGATCAGCCTCCAACCTCCCCACTCCCTCCTGCCCAGTCTGTTCTGCAAGGGGCGGGCTTTGTGCATTGCTGGAAATGTAAATGTAGTTACGTCCGCCCTCCCCCAGCCAGACCCTGGCCTTGCTGGGGTGCTCCCCTCCTGCCCTTTGCCCTTTGCCCGCACTTCCCAACTCACCCCTCCCCACCACACACACCCCACCCGAGTCACTGTCTATGTGCCCTCCCGGTTGCAGCTCCCAGAGCTCTGTCTGATTTCCTGCTGCATGCCCACACTCCTGGCACGTACTTACTAACTAGGTGAATGTTTTATGGAAAGTATTTTTAAAAGGTATGGCAAGATATTAAGAAGAATAGGATGTGGCCGGGTGTGGTGGCTCACGCCTGTCATCCCAGCACTCTGGGAGGCCGAGGCAGGAGGATCGCTCGAGGTCAGGAGTTCGAGACCAGCCTGGGCAACATAGCAAGATCCCATCTCTACTA